TACATCTCCTGATTTCCTGATTGCTGGTAACAAGGGTATTGGTCAAGATGAAGTTGTTGACAGTTTCAATCCTTTCTCTGTAGCAGTTACTTTTTTTAAAATAAGTCAAAGAAACTATTCATGACCTAATAACTTAATAGCTATAACATCACTAGTATCACACACAAGTAAAATCTTGCTAAAGATTATCCAAAAATGACTGGAATAGTACATTAGTAGAGAACTACCAGAAGTACAGGTTGGGTTTAGAAGAGGCTGTGCAAGTAGGGTCCTCATTGCCAATGTCAGATGGATCTTGGCTAAAAGCAGACAATACTAGAAGAATGTCTGTGTTTCATTGACTCTGCAAAGGCATTTGGCTGTGTGAATCACAACAAATTGTGGCTAACCTTGAGAAGAATGGGAAACCCAGAACACCTGATTGAACGCATGCAAAGTCTATGCTTGGACCAGGGACAGTCGTCAGAACAGAACAAGGAAATACTACATGGTTCAAAATTAGGAAAGGGGTGCACCAGGTATGCGTCCTGTCTCCATAACTTTTCTTGTATTTTTTTTTTAACTTTTCCAGTACATTTTTATTATTAGTTAAGTCACTATTTAAGATTCCAGTAGAAAGGTGAGGTTGGCCAGTGCAGATCTTCCCAGGGAATGTGTCTTTTGCCTTGCGGTCATCTCAGGCTGACATCCAAGACCTGGGGCAGAGGGTCTCCATAACTTTTCAATCTGTATTCAGAACAGATCATTCAGGAGACTGGGGTTTTTTGAGGAAGAATGCAGCATCAGAATTAGAGGAGGACTGATCAATAACTTGTGTTATGCAGATGACACAACCTTGCTTATTGAAACTGAGGAGTACTGAAGCATCTACTGCAGAAAGTCAAGGATTGCAGTCTTCAATATAAGATTGCAACTCAACATCAAGAAAACAAAGATTCTCACCACTGGGCCAATTGGCAGCACCATTATAGATGGAGAAATGATTGACAGTGATAACAGTTTCAGCTTGCTCTGTTCAACAATCAATTCTCTTGGAACCAGCAGTCAGAAAATCAAAAGACAAGTTGGATTAGAAAAGTCTGCTGTCAGGGATCTCTCCAGAGTGCTGAAGTGCAAAGATGTCAGTCTAGAGACTAAGGTGTGTCTGATCCAGGCCATGGTCTTTGCAGTTTCTTGCTATGCCTCAGAGAGCTGGACAGTGAATAAGGATGACAGAAAAAGAATTGATGCCTTTGAGTTGTGGTGCTGGGGAAGAGTTTAGAACAAATCATGGACTGCCAAGAGAGAACACAGGTCTGTTCTGAACAGGGTGAAACCAAATTCCTCTTTGGAGGCAAAGATTTTGAAGCTCTGTCTCACATACGTTGGGCATATTACCAGGACAGACTAGTCCTTGGAGAAGGACATCATGCTTGGAAGGGTGGAGGGGCAACACAGGAGAGGAAAACCCTGGAAGAGATCAATTGACACCATGACTACAGTCATGGGGGTGGGGTTCTTGGAGACAGTGAGATTGCCTCAGGATAATATTGGGTTCAGAGCTGTTGTGCATAGAGTCGCTATGAGTTGCAGGTGACTTGACAGCATATAACAAAAACATATGAATAAAATAATATACAAAGAAACTAGAGCTGCCACCCAAACAGATATATGAACATCCATGTTTATTGCTGTATTATTCACAATAGCAAAGAGATAGAAGCAACTCAAGTGCCTAACAACAAGAGAATGGATAGGAAAAACTGTGGTATATTCACACAATGGAATACGACACAGCACTGAAAAGCAAGGAATTCATAAAATAGACAACATGTGTGAACCTGGAACTGAGTGAAATATATCCATTGCAAAAGGAAAAATACTGCATTATTTTATAAAACAGGACTGACATGTTGGTTAGGGGAAACTAAATAAAGAGGGGATAGATAATACTGCATTGGAACAGAAGAAGGAAAGAATTGTTTAAAAGAAATATATGATTAAGTATTATTTGTATGACAGTCATCAAGAATTAAGAGGTACATCACAGAGTAGAAAGAGAGGATGGGGCAGAGGGAGAAAATTATGCAATAATAAATGAATTGTTTTAAGTGAATTCAGAGAGGGTAGAGAGGAAAGTGCAACAATGAATGAATGAATGAATTGAAAATCCAACTTTTCTGAAAACTTTTTTTAAAATCACAAAAAAAAGAAAAAAGAATACATATTCATTGAAAAGAATATCTTTTCACTTCATTCTTAAATAATAATTTACACAAGGTATATAATCATTAAGCTCAAATTCCTAACTACTAAAACTTCATATACTATTCTGTATTTTTTTAATGGAGGTGTTTGTCATAGCAGCTGCCAAAACTACATCTTAGCAAAGACTGATGCCATCAAAAAGAGTATCACACACACATAAACATAAGGATTTTTTTTAACAAAGGAAGTAGGTTCTAGTGCTGCTGAAATATAATTAAGCAAAAAGTTTAGAAAAGGAAAAAAAAGATATGATACAATCTAATACTGACCATGTCAGCCATCTCAAACTGGTAGTTTGTGCACTGTCTAAATTGTAAAATAGCCTGCTGCTATTTTAATTCATATATATGATTATCTCTTCTGTGTATGCAGACAATGCTCTATGAGTTACACTTTCCTAGATTTTATTAGGGTTGAAATGGCAACACTTAATCTTTTAGATTGGAAGGAATGGCACCCACTTCCTAAACGACATGCCTCCAGAAGCTCTGAACTTTGATAAATGTTGATAGTTATAGAAAGGCTTCAGACCTTTTGTTCATAGGATTGCTATGAGTTGTGCTTGACTCAAAGGCAATAAACAACTATATATATACACATACATACATACACACACTTACACATATATGAGCTAATACACACACACACACACCCCCCAAAGGTGCACAGTTAAAATCCACCAGCTGCTCCATGAAGGAGAGATAGGCAGTCTCCTCCTGTTCAGTTTACTGACTCTGAAAACTCACTTAGGGTTGTTAGCTGTGATTTGGTTCTGACTTGGCAGGATATAAGAATTAACAGCATCTATAAAATATTTCTATTTTTAATTCATTCTGGCACATCCAAGGTGCTTTGATGCACAGTTTGGTAATTGTGGAACTAGTCATCATATTGCTGGCAAGAATGAATGTGAATTTAAAGTGGCCTTTTAGAGAGAGGTGAGAAATTTGCCATTATTTATCAAAATTATGAACATTTTACCTTTCCCCTCAGAAATTTATGCTATACATTTTCTTTCACAATATCTATAAATGAACAATGAATCAGGTTAGCCCACATAGCATTGTTTTTTAGAGTAGGAAAGACTGGAAACAAGCTAAGTTTAATCATTAGAAAACTGGTTAAATTATAGTCCATATATACAATGGAATCAGATGTAGCTATTTTTTAAAGTTACAGCTCTTTAAGAGCCAATAAAGAGTGCATAACATTAATTATTGTTAGATAATAAAAGTCAGATACAGCATTTATGGATTGTGCTTTTTAGGTGCCATTGTTAGGTGGTGTTATTTATTTTGGGGGGTGTTATTTATTTATATGCTGTTATATCCTGTGTAAAAAAGAGGTGACAAAAATACATGTGTATGTGTTGGCTCATATGTGTATCAATTATCTGTGGAAGGGTACATCAGAAGTGGGCAATAGAGGTTACCTGTAGGAAGAGGACACAGGTGAAAGGCAGACATTTTACTGAATATCTTTTGATTAAGTTTGAACTATGTAGGATGTTACTTACTTGAAAAGTGCATAAGAAATAAAATTAGTAGTTTCACCACTAAGGTTATGATTCTATATTCATTATTAATGTGCTGTTGTGTGAAATAGTTTTTAGAACTGAAATTATATTCCAGTAAAAATTAAAAGTTGATGTTTTTAATTTGTATTTTGTTTTCTTTCATTCAGGATTTAGAAAATTACATATTGGAACTTATCCCTACTTTGCCGCAATTAGATGGGCTGGAAAAATCCTTTTATTCTTTCTATGTTTGCACTGCTGTTAGAAAGTTCTTCTTCTTTTTAGATCCTCTAAGAACAGGTAAATTATTTTTTTTTATAATTTAGAAATATCAATACTAGAGAAAATGTCAGTTTTTTTCCCCGTTTGTTCTTTTATGAGTATTTTGTTGTCATTAATAATGTAATGAATTTCAAGGAGGCAGAGAAATACTCAAGACAGCAACAGAACTTTGGTTTAGATTTTTACCAGTTCTTCTTTAATTCATTATTGGCAACAACTGTAACCAAAAGTGTGATGAGGAATATCCCCCAACCTCTCAAAGTTTCAGCATCCCTAAAAAAAAGACAGAGGAACTCTTAAGACTGTAGCTCTTTCTGGTTCTTTTATAATTTGTTATCCTAGATTTGTGAAATTTAGGAAGGATTTATCAGGTGGGTTTATAATGTTTGTTGTATACTGTTGAGTCAGTGAGTCAACTGGTTCTCATAGCTGACTTTTCAGTGGGTTTTCAGAGGCTATAAATCACGTGGAAGGAGATTGCCTGGATCTACCTCTGTGCTCATAGCACAACTCCTTACCACTAGGCCACTAAAGCTCCAGTTTATATAGTTAAGGGCAGAATACAAGTAAAGATTTTGTTAAATGTTCCTTACAGACTTAGGTACTAAGGATTTTAGAACATCAGAGCTGAGAAGCTTTGAAATACTACTTAATATGATACTGCTTCTAAAATACTATTTCTTGAGCTGTTTGTTTCATTGGTTTATAGCAAGAATTTTACTTTTAGTAAAAAGATACTTTTTGAAAAGTTGAGTTCTGGTTTTAAAAATGAAATTACTGTGTTTCTTTAAAGGGAAGATAAAAATTCAAGATATTTTAGCATGCAGCTTCCTAGATGATTTATTGGAGGTAAATATATTTGTTTGTTTTAAAACTATTTATATCATCTGACAGTTACTGTCCCCTAATTGTGTTTCTTTGTTCATTTAGCTAAGGGATGAGGAACTGTCTAAAGAAAGTCAAGAAACAAACTGGTTTTCTGCTCCCTCTGCACTGAGGGTTTATGGTATGCTCTTACTGTGATTTTAAAATTCAAATTACTCATTTCTCAGTTACTGGTTTTCAGACAAAGGTAAGTTTGTCCTTTCTTGTTGACTCAGGAATGTCACTATAGATGTTAGTTAGCTGTTATTTTTCACTGTGATAAAGTGCTGTTCCAAGGCCACAGAGGAAGGTGTTCTCAGGCCTGGTTTGAATTTCTTTAGTTATTTGTCCTGGAAAGGGTTAAACCGGGTGGCTCCTTGGAGGCAAGGATTCTGAGGCTCCGTCTAACATACTTTGGACTTGTTGTGAGGGGAGACCGGTCCTTGGAGAAGGACATCATGCTTGGGAGGGTGGAGAGACGGCCCTCTATGAGGTGAATTGATTCAGTGACTGGGATAATCGGGATGGGAGTGTCGGAGACAGTGCGATTTGCACAGAACAGAGCAGAGTTTAGGGCTGTTTGTACATAGGGTCCCTGTCAGTCGCAAGCGACTCGATGGCACATAACAACAACAAAAACAACAACTATGTTATCTTGTTGAGTGGTTCTTCTGACTCCATTTTTATTGCATCTTTGCTTGCTACTCTTAAGTGCCATCATTAGTGCTTTTGGTTGACCCCCTACCTCCATCTGATTTAGAAAGTCTGGAAATTTCGAAAAGTTGCAAATAGAAAACAAATATTTATTTAAGTGAAACAGCCCAAAGACCATGGCCTTCTTACCTGGTTTTGACTGTTTCTAATGTAGTGCTTGTTCTGATCAAGATTGCAAGGATAATTGATGTTACTGTTTTTTGCTAATGTCTCTCCTTTTGTTTTTATAAATTAAAGTTTATTTTGATGCTTATTTTCATCTCTTCTGAAGGCCAATATTTGAATCTTGATAAGGATCTCAATGGCATGCTCAGTAAAGAGGAACTCTCACGCTATGGAACTGCAACTATGACCAATGTCTTCTTAGACCGTGTTTTCCAGGAATGTCTCACTTATGATGGAGAAATGGTAATCCTTTAAATCTCCTAATACAGTTAAAAACTGAGACTCCCACAACTTCCTCAGGACCTTTTCTTGATGTTGTTTATGCAGCATTATTTTTATTTCAGTGTGTAACAAGTTCTTAAGGAGCCCCTGTGGGTTAGTAGGCAGAGCAGTTCAAAAAGTAAGATTTGGCATTCAGCTTCCTTAACAATTCCAGCCTTAGAGACCCTGTGAAGGCACTTCTAATCTGTCTTACAGGGTCATTGTGAGGTGGAATTGACTCAGTGGCAATGAGTTAGGTTTGGGAATAATATCTTGAAAAGTATAACCAGCTCAAATTATTTGAGATTTGGATCCTTTAATCTTATGCTTAATTTAAAATCTTACTTTCTTTATAGGCTCAGAGTAAGTAGAAAATTTTAATTTTTTTCATTATCCATGTACCTGCTATGGCAGAATATGAAGTAGTAAAAATGATCCAATAAACTGGCAAATCCTGTTGACTTTTCAGATGGTGGTTGTTATTACATACCATCATGTTGGAACCAGCTCATACCTGACCCTCTAGCAGGCTGTCACAGGCAGCAAATGGCATGGGAGGAGATTTAAACTGTATGCCTTTGAGTTGGTAGCACAGCTCCTTACTGCTTGGCCACTAGAGCTCTTTCAGATAGGTAGTCATTAAATTATGTTAGATATAGTATCATATTTGCCGTGGCTTAAATCAGGCTAACCCTGTATAAGAGGCTATACATTCTACAACTGTTAAAATAAAATTATTTGACAACTTTAGAACAAAAGAGGCTCTACACCCGGGCGTGGTGGTGCGTGCCTGTAGTCCCAGCTACTTGGGAGGCTGAGGCTGGAGGAGTTCTGGGCTGTAGTTGCCCTATGCCGATCTGGTGTCCCCACTAAATTCGGCATTAATATGGTGACCCCCTGGAAACGGGGAACCACCAGATTGCTTAAGGAGGGGTGAACCAGCCCAGGTTGGAAAAAAAGAGGCTATACATTTATTCTTTTATTACTCTAATGCAATATATTTAAGAAAATTATAAATAGTATTTAAAATCACTTTTTTCCTCTCTTCCTTAGTTTTCATCTCCCTTAACCCTCATTATATTTATTAAAATAAAGTTTGATTTGGTGTATGAACTGTTTCTTAAAAAAAAAGAGAGAACTGTTTCTTAGCTGTTTAAGTTAGTGGTTTATTCCATATTTGCCCTTTTGTGATTTGCTTATGTCCCTCAGCATAATATTCTAGTTTCATCCATGTGCCTGCAGTATTTGACAAATATTTGAAATATCTCCTTTTCCGTATTTCCTTTCCAAGAAGGCTTTGTTTCATCTTTTGGAATGTAACTTTATAATAAATCTATCTTTATACCTTCCAAAAACCCCAGAAATACTTGAAATGTTTTAGTAATACATAATACTCCATTGTGTGAATGTACCAAAATTTCTTTAGCTAGTCATCCATTGATGGGCACTTGAGTTGTTTCTAACTCTGCTGTTTATAAATAGTGCTGCAATAAACATGGAAAAGTATCAGTTTGTTTTGCATTTCTTATTTCTTTAAGATAAATACCTAGCAATGGGATTGCTGGCTTGAATGGTACATCTGTTCTCAACTTTTTAACTTTCAAACTGCTTTCCGTAGTGGTTACATCACTTTACATTTCTATCGGTAGTATATGAGAGTTCAAATCTCCCCACACTCCCTCCAGCCTTTGTTGTTTGCTTTCTTATTGAATATTGCCATTATTGCTGGAGTGAGAATATGTTGTTTTGATTTGTATTTCTTGAAGCATTTCTTTAGGTGGTTTTGTTTTGAGGTGGTTTGTTTTTTTGGTTTGGTTGTTTTTTTGTTTTTTTTTTTGCCACCTGAATGACTTCTTTGATTCTTGTCTTCTGCCCATTTTTAGTTGGGTTGCTTATCTTTTTCTTGTTGAGATGTTGGAGATTCTATCCATTTTAGAGATGAGTCCCTTAAATTTTAGAGTGTCTGATGTATCATTGCCAAATATTTTTTCCCCAGTTTGTAGGTTCTCTTCTGGTTCTTCTGTAAATGTCTTTTGATAAACATAAGACTTTAATTTTAGGAAGTCTCAGTGGCCTAGTTTATCCTCTGTTGAGTGTACATGAATTATATTTGATAATCTATGTAAATCTTAGTTTAGGTAGGGCTTCTGAATTTGCCTCAATTTTTTTCCTTTGATGATCTTTTAAGTTTTATGCCAAGGTCACTGGCAAAATTAATTTCAATTGAGGCCTCTACTAGGGAGTTCTGGTGCGCTTGGTGGTTATACCCTGACCAGGGCTTCCCTGGAAGAAAAATGAGCAGTCTCGTCCAGTGCATTTAACAGCTTTGTAAACCCACCCCAAAAGCAATGAGTTTTTGTGTAAGTTCTCAACTAAGCTCATTTCTTTTTTTTATAGGACTACAAGACCTACCTAGACTTTGTTCTTGCGTTAGAAAACCGAAAAGAACCAGCAGCTCTGCAGTATATTTTTAAACTGCTTGATATTGAGAACAAAGGATATCTGAATGTCTTTTCTCTTAATTATTTCTTTAGGGTAAGTCTTCTTTGCATAAGATATTTTGTACCAGTGACAATTCCATGATTGGTATTTTTTCAGCTTACCAAAAAGGTTTACAGTTAACAGATTTCAGAAGGCAATCAAGATTTTTCAAAAAAATACATAAATGTGCTAAATCAGCTGATTTGGAATCTAGAATGTAGGGTTTCATTTTTACATACATGGGGTCTTTACTATGTCAAGGACTGTACTGGTCATTGAAGGTACACATATGCATGAGAAATCCTGTTTCCTTACTTATCAAAGTCTAGTGATAAAGCTCCATGAGATCTTCTTGTCTTACAAGTTCATTCCTGCCTCTTCATGGGAAGGTCAATATCAATGATTAGAGTAAGAGAAAGTTGAACCCTCTTTAAGCCATTCACATAAGTCCTTAATAAGAGCAAATGGTTATGCTGCCTTTGCACAGTCAGAGTACCGCAGCCATTTAACTAAAGTCACTGAGCAGGCAGTATGCCTAATAATAGTAATGCTAGAGGTGATGGTTTTGGTAACCAGACAGGATTCATGTTTGCTGAGTTCCTTTTAGTTCTTTTAATCTTTCCTGTAGTGCAATCCTGTGCTGGGTTAACAATTTGTGTAATAGGCCAATTTATAGGTGGTTTCTCTCTACTCGGTTGTTAACTATCAGTAGGCATTCATTCTGATAGAAGCTTGTGCATGTTACTCATACTAACATTTCTTCTATAGTTAAATAGAGTGGTCCAGTGTAGGTGCGCCAGTTCGGCGAGATTATTTTAATTAAGTTAAAAATTGATCTTTAATGCTTTCTTAATTGATGACCGGTTTTAGACCAACTATGTTGTTATTTGTACTTTCTCTATTTCTAGTGGATTCTGTAGGAGAGAATCCATGAGGGGCTCCAAGGAAGAAAGATGAGAAGTCTCCTCCCCTACAGTTTGCAGCCTCAAAAACCTACATGGAGAGTCATATATATTTTTAAGTAACTTTTTGTTGATTTAAGTGATAAGCAAGGTCTGGATGGTGCATCACTTAGATGTACCACTCTGCTTATGGTACTATGAGTTTATTCACAGATTCTGACCTAGTTCAGAAAAAGTCCTTGTGGCATTCTGTTAATGGTAGCACCATATTCAGAAGAGACACTTAGATCATAATTACTTAGTTCAGTGTTGTTGTTGTTATGTGCTGTCGAGTTACCACCAACTCATAGCTGACCCTCTTGTGGGTTTTCAGAGGCTGTAAATCACACAGGAGATTTCCCATCCTTCTCCCACAGAGCGGTTATTAGATTCAAACTCTGTGCCTACAGGTGGGCAGCATAACCTCTTAACTACCATGCCACCAGAGCTCTCTCACTTGGTTGAATATTAACCAAGAATTTGAAGATTTCCCTGTCCCTTAGTGAATGATGTGACCTGGAATATGTGATTAGTCCAGCTAGTCTGGTGGCATAGTCTGTACATAGAGTTTTGCTGCTAACCCAATAGTAGCACCTATCCCACAGTTCAAATCCATCAGTGGCTCCACAAGAGAAAATTAGGCAATCTCCTTCAGTGTGATTTACAGCCTCTGAAATGCACTGGAAGGTCATCTGAGTTGGTTCACACTCGACATGAGTGAGTGAGGATCACAGAAGTTCCTTAATTTTCTTTCAAAAAAGTTTTTATAAAAGGTAAGAATTTGAGGGAGTTTATTCTCCCTTGTTTTTTCCTATCACATAGAAAGCAAAGTGTGGTAAGAAGAAAAACTGAAGGCCTACAGTATAGTGAATATATGAACAGCGCATATGGAAAATTAGAATAGCATGAAAGAATAATTGCTAGGTCATGCTGAGAACTCACATGCAGTTTGGAGAGCATGCCTGTGTTGTAGGAACAACCTGCAGTCTTGTCTTATTTCACTGTGAAGTTTTCAGTAGCTGTGGTTTAAGATTAGAAAGATTGTTACACTGATACAGTGTTCAGGATTTGCCAACTGGATGTGGGGTAAAATCCAGAAAGTTGAGAATATTGACAAAAGTGGTTGAGACAGTCAGGCTTGGGCCTGATAGCAAAGAGAAAAAGTGAACCTAAGAAAAGCTAAAATAAAGTAGGAACAAGGTTATTGACTGTTCTCTTTTTTTAAATTTATAAACTTATTTCTATTACATACAGGCCATACAGGAACTAATGAAAATCCATGGACAAGATCCTGTTTCATTTCAAGATGTCAAGGTTACCTTTTCCTTTAATTTACATAATATCAGATAATCATTTATATTGAGTGAAATTTTATATGAGGCAACTTTTGAGCTGTAAATCCAATACAGAATAAGGCATTTGCTGTTATTCATATTTAAATTAATAGAAACTTAGACCACAGTTGAACTGATTGATTTGTGTAGCTTATTCAAATCAGTTTATTGATTTTAAGATTATTAGTTTTGTATTCTCATTGGATGTATTCAGTTTCTTTGAAAATTAAGAGAAATAGTATACCCCACATCTTTTCAGTCTGTTCCACTGTAAACGGAATTTTTAGGTTGGAAACTAAGTTTTGGAATTTTTTTTGGTGTGCTACTTCAAAGGTTTTGCTCACTTTGGAATTATATTTAAGTTATAAACTTAAATTAGTGGAAAGCAGTATTTGACACATAGGTTTCTACTTAGCATTGTACTAAACATTTTCTCACTAACTATTAAAAAACATTGAATAACCAGCACTCATTTAGGTTAATTTGATAGTGTTGCACTGTGTTTCTGTGGTGGTGTGCATCCACCAGCTGTTGGGAGGGGGAAAGATGAGCAGTCTCCTCTCATACAATTTACAGCCTTGGAAACCCACTGGAGGGTCAGCTGTGAATGGGAACAAACTTGACAGCAATGAGAGAACATAATATTCTTGCCATTTTTGGTTTAATATAAATGGAACAAATTTGAAACTTTGCATCAGACAAGAACTAATACTTTTAAACTGTTATGTGCTGTTGAGTCACCTGTGACCTATAGTGACCCTGTGTACACTAGCTCTGAACTCCTCCCTGTCCTGATCCAGTCTCACTAATTCTGACACAGCAACCCCTATTGCCCCAGTTACTATATCAATCCATTTCAACCAGGGTCTTCCTCTCCTGCACTGTCCCTTCACCCTTCCAAGCATGATGTCCCTCTATAAGGACCAATCTCTCCTGGCCATGTGCCCAAAGTATGTGAGGCAGAGCTTCAAAATCCTAGCCTCCTAGTGAAATATCTCAGTTACAAAAGGACAAATACTGCATAGTGCCACTGTTGTAAAATGGGACTGACATCGGTGCTGGGAGGAACTTAAGAGGGGATAAATAATGTATACTGCATTGAAACAAATGAGGGAAGAGAACTGTTTAAAAGGAATATATGATTAGGTATTATTTTCATGACAAGAGTCCAGAATAAGAGCTGCATAGTAAAGGACTGGGGTGGGGGGTGGGGAGAGGATTGTATAACAATGAAGGATTTTTTTTTCTTTTTCTCTTCAAGAGGAGGGAACTGAGAGAAGGGGTGGTTAAGGAGGAAAGTGTGCAACAATGTATGAATGGAAATCCAAAGTCTCTGTAAACATTCATTAAAATTAAAAAAAAAAAAAGAATTCTAGCCTCAAAGGAGAGACTTGTTTCAACCTCTCCAAGACAGACCTATTTGTTTTCTTGGTGGTCCATGGCATGTTCAAGACTCTTCTCCAATAGCACAACTCAAAGACATTCTTCTTCTGTCATCCTTAATGTCCAGCTCTTTGAAGAATAACAAGTGAAGACCATGGATCAAGTGCACCTTAGTCTCTAGACTCACATCATTGCTTTTCAGTACTCTGGAGAGGTCCTTGACAACAGATTTTCCAATGCAATTCGTCTTTTGATTTCCTGACTGCTGGTATTATGAGTGTTGATTGTGGAGCTAAGCAAACTGTAATTGTTAACAACCTCAATTTCTTCTCCATCATATCATGGTGCTGCCAATTGGCTCGGTGGTGAGTGTCTTTGTCTTCTTGATGTTGAGCTTCAATCCATATTGAATACTACAGTCCTTGACCTTCTGTAGTACGTGCTTCAGGTCTTCAGTTTCAGCAAGCAAAGTTGTGTCATCTGCATAATGTAGGTTATTGATGAGTCTTCCTCCAATGTTGATGCCATATTCCTCCTTATTAAAGCCCTGCTTCCCAAATTATCTGTTCTGTTCTGCATATAAATGTGCCAAGAAATCTGGAGGACAACTACTTGGCCCACTGTCTGGAAGAGATCGATATTTATTCCCATTCCAAAAAAAGGTAACCTGACAGAATGTGGAAATTATTGAATAATATCACTTATATCATACACTAGCAAGATCCTACTGAAGATTATCTAGAAAAGACTGAACAGTACATTGACAGAGAACTACCAGAAATATATGCTGGGTTTAGAAGAGGTTGTGTGGCACTAGAGACATTACTGCCAATGTCAGATGGATCCTGGCAGAAAGCAAAGAGTACCAGAGGAATGTCTATCTGTGTTTCATTGACTATGCAAAGGCATTTGTGTGAATCACAACAAATTGTGGTTAACCTTGATGAAAATAGGAATCCCGGAATACTTAATTGTGCTTATGGTCCTATACTTGGACGACGAAGTAGTCCTCAGAACAGAGCAGGGAAACACTGCATGGTTTAAAATTAGGAAAGGAGTGTGTCAAGAATGCATCCTGTCCCCATTTAAAAAATGTAGCCGCCCTGAAATGAGTTTTAACAAAAATGAGGTTTACACATGTACCTGCATTATTCTTGTTCTCTCTTCCTTACTGGTTTTTGGGTTTTTTTTGAGAATATATGCAGTAAAATTTATACCAGTTTCTGCATGTCATTTCAGTGCTATTGATTATACTATTTGTGTTTCTAATCTTTTCTTAACACAACTTTTCTCTTTAGATACTACTAAAATACTGAATAATTTTACTACAAAAATATATGTACTAATTCGTTGGAAATAATTTATATTAATATGTAACTTTCTTCTCTCTTTGCCACCTTAAGGTCTGTATAAATATTGGAAATAAAGCTTTGTCTTGACTCTTATTAAAGTATAGGAATGTAAGATATTAAAATAGCACTGCACTAGGTAATTTGCCCATAATCAGCAATGTGGCATGGATCAAATTCTGAGGTTATTCTTTCATTTATAAAATGTAGAATAGCTATTATGTAGCTAATGAAACTGCAAATAACATTGTGATTTTTTTTTACTTTATTAATTATAATGAACATTTACAGAGATTTGGAGTTCCATTCATTCATTGTTGCACATTTCTCCCTGCCCACCCCTCCCCCACCCAGTTCGCTCCTCTTTGAAAAGTAAAATTCTTTCATTGGTATATAATCCCCCACACTCCACTCCCCACTGCCCCGAGTAACTCCACTATGCAGCCTTCATTCTGGACTCTTGTGATAACCATAATACCCTATCATATATCACTTTTAAATTGTTCTCTCCCTTATCTGTTTCAATGCAGTATACATAATTTATGCAGTTTTTCTCAGTCTTACCCCAGCCCCGATATCTGTCCTGTTTTATAACAGTGGTACCATGCAGTATTTGTCCTTTTGTGATTGAGATACTCCACTCAGCATGTCCTCCAGGGTCATGAATAATATTGCCTGAGTTCCTTGTTTTTCAATGCAGCATAGTATTCCATTGTGTGAATATACCACAGCTTCTCTATCCATTTATTTGTTGATGGACACTTGGGTTGTTTCCAACTCCTTGCTATTGTGAACAAAGCCGTGATAAACATGGGTTAGCATATATCTGCTTGGATGTCAGTTATTGTCTCTTTAGGGTATATTCCCAGTAGTGGAACTGCTGGGTCAAATGGTATCTCTATTTGCAACTTTATGAGAAAGTGCCACACCACTTTCCACAGTGGTTGTACCATTTTACACTTTCACCAACAGTGAATAAGGGTTCCAGTTTCTCCACAATCTCGCCAGCATTTGTTGCTTGCTGTTCTTTTAAATTTTGCCATTCTTACTGGGGTGAGATGATATCCCATAGTTGTTTTGATTTGCATGTCTCTTAGAGCTAGGGATTGTGAACATTTATTTATGTGCTTGTTGGCCATCTGAATGTCTTCTTTGGTGAAGTGTTTGTTCATATCCTGTGCCCATTTTTCTATTGGATTATTTACCTTTATCTTGTGGTGCTCAAGTATTTTATAAATTCTAGATATAAGTCCCTTATCTGACATGTCATTACCAAATACTTTTTCCCAGTCTGTGGCTTCCCTTTTTACCCTGTTGGAGAAGTTTTTGGATGTGCATAGGGATTTCATTCTTAGAAGGTCCCAGTCATCTATTTTATCTTCTCCTGGTTGTAGATTAAGATTGTGATTTTAGGTAAAGAAAATGCAGCCACCTATCTGTTAAATGGAAAATAAAATCTAGAAGGAAGAAACTTTCCATAAGCTTAGTATCAGCTATAAATTTTATATCATTATGTGATGGAAATTGTTAAAAGTGAATTAGGTATCAGATTTCATTGTATTTTTTTTTCTTTTGCAGGATGAAATCTTTGATATGGTAAAGCCAAAGGATCCTTTAAGAATCTCTCTTCAGGATTTAATCAACAGTAATCAGGGAGACACAGTAACCACCATTCTAATTGATCTGAATGGCTTCTGGACATACGAGAACAGAGAAGCCCTTGTTGCAAATGACAATGAAAATTCTACAGACCTTGATGATACATGATATCTGAAGGTTTGAATAGTGTACACAAAACATTTGAAACAGAATTCTTAGAAATGGTTTAAATAAAACTTTAATCTGCCTGTAGATCACTGCCAATGTGTGGATTGCTGGAATTCCAGCTTCAGTAGTTTGGAAGCAAAGTTGGTGGCGGTTGTAGGTGCTACTGAGGTGACTCCCACTCTTAGTGCCCTCTGTGTACATCAAAAAACCCTGCCAACCCTACACCAGACTTAAAATTCCTGCTGTGTGCTTCAGCCATTGCTGCGGTCATTGGGTCAGTCTCTATCCTTGAGGGTCTTCCTCTCCTTCATGACTTTTTTCAAAGCATGATATTCTTTTCCAAGACTGGCTACTCCTTTTAATCAATAGGATGAAATAAGTGCTTGTTAGGATATGGTGAATTCTAGTCCCATTTAATTTCTCTGGCAAGTCTTGTTTGCTAAAGTTAAATGTGTTCACTTTGAATCTGTATGATGTTTAAAGAGAAAAGTTTTTGTTTTTTCTTAATTTCTATTTTGTTGTATACAAAGCCTAGAATAACACCAGTTCAAGTTTCAAGGTATACAATTTAGTGATACTCATTACCTTCTTTGTGTTGTGCTACCATTCTCTCTTCTGAGTTGTTCTTCCCACTAACATAAACTCACTACCCCCTACGGTTCCTATTTTTCAAGTTGCTGTTGTCAGGATGATCCTATCTGGATCTTAAAAAGAGCACAATGCTCAAGGCAAACCTTTTTTATTATTAGTCAAGCTAAACTGTTCCATTTTAAGATAACTGAGTACTTTTGGTTTAATGTTTACAGTATTATCCATGTAATACTTTCAGAGATACATTCCTTTTCATGGCTCCAGAAAGTCTGGAGTTCATGAGTATTTAAAATTGTGTTCTGCATTTTCCCCAATCTGATGAAGATTCTTCTCTGGAATCTCTAATCAAAATGTTTAGTAATGGAATAAGAGTAAATATGACCATCTAGTTCTCTGATCTCATGGCAAAGGAGGCAGTTTTTCAAGGAGGCAGTTAGCACACATTCTCCATCTTCTTCTTGACTCTCTTTGTAAAGGTTTAAGTTTTATTAAATGTTTCTGACATTGATTACACACAACCTGAATACTGAGAAACATTATATAAATGCCATAACATTTAACCTTTAGTCTAAATACATGTAACAAAGATAAGACTTTCCTATTAGTATAGTTATTTCATTTCTGAGTTAGAAGTATTTTAACACAATCTTCCTTTAAAAAAATGTTTCTAACAAAAATAATTCAAAGTAGTATCTTCATTGAAATCATTGTGGTGTGGAGGAGGACTAAAATATATCACTACTATAAAATTTTGTCTAGCTTTATTCACCAGTACAAGAATTGCATTTTATAAAATATAGCTCTACTTTATTAAGAGCCATGACAGTTGAAGTTAAATCACCATAAAAGGATTTTCAATTAAACTATTCCTTAATAGTTTAATTGAAAGGGGGTAAAGTATCATAGTTATGATCTAAAGGGATTAGAAGTTATTAAAAGACCTGAAACAGAAATTAGGAAATAGAGAGGCTTAAAATAAGATAAGCCATTTAACCCATTTAGGAGAATTTTAGTTTGTATAAACAAAAAAAGTATAAAAATTTAAGGCACTTACAAACAATATGATTGGCCACTGTTAGACTAGTAAAGAAAGTAAAATTCAAGAAATATAGAACCTTTGTAAAAAAAGTGTTCTTTCTACAACAATCATAAGAGTTCCTAGATCTCCTTTACATACTACTACTGCCAATAGGAACAGAAGATTTAGAATATCACAGATGCATTCACTTGTTATCCATATATGAACTGGAGGTGCTGTCTCAAATTGAGGGAGCTCTAGTGGCTTAGTGGTAAGAAACTATGCTGCCAACTCAAATGTACATGGTTCAAATCCACCATCTACTCAGCAGGAGAAAGATGGGTAATATCCCATATGACTGAACTTCCTCTGAAAACCTGCTGGAGGGTCAGCACGAGTTAGTTCTGACTTGAAGGTATACAACAATAACATCATTTCAAATCAAGAACAAATTAGAGGGGAAAAGTCATTAAGGCAGTTTGAGACGAATTACATAATCAGCATGGTCTGAAGATAATATAAGTATTAAATTATAAAGAACATAGGTCCATAAATAAAGATTACTGTTATATATTATGAATCACTATTTCATGAATCCAAATTAACTAAAGACTCTTACTTAAAGATCATTCCTAAATCCTTTCAACTCTAGCCAAAGAATTTCATAACAAATGTTCATGTAGAACAGATTTCTACAATAGGTCTACTATATATTGTTTCTCTAAAAACATATTTAATAATAGTATAAGCTGTTTTGAAGACTTATCAGCATTGCTATTAATTTATAAAAGTTTTAAAATTTGTAAATAAGCATTTTGAAAGCATTTAAAAATCCATTATCCATATTCATTATAAATCAAAGTCACACAGGTATAAGATTCTGAACATATATTTAGAAGTATTATTTAAAAAATAACTTCATAATATCACCTAAGATTTGCAAACAACATAACAGAAATGCTCAAGCTGGTTCAAGTAGTCTACCTACCTCATTAGTGCTACATCAAAGTGTTGAATGACAGCTACCATTGCTACTTGTACAGTATTTGACAACAGTTCGCTCCTATGGGGCTGTATCTTCATTTGTTCCTCCACTCTGAATCACAAGATGCTATGTGTTATGTACTAATATAAATGTATTAATCCATTCCAGAATTAGCACATTTTTTAAATTAGCACTTTTTAACATTACATTAATTAACTACTGAAAAGAATGACAAGATTAATCTGCACTGAAAAATGGAGACCTATCTCAAAATAGTAGTAGTTGCATGAACTGGAGTTCCTGGGTGATACAAATGCAAAGTGAGTTTAGCTAATAATCATGGTTAGAGGTTTGAATTCACCCAGATGCACTCAAATGAAAGCCTTGGCAATCTAATTCCAAAAATAATCAGCCATTAAACTAGAGGATGGCTGTACTTTAGAGTTAATTATTCTGTGCTATAAACTGAAATACACTGCCATAAAATAAAGTTACTCTGAATGAAACAAAATTCAAAGTGCTTCCATTGTAATCCTTTATTATACACTCAAAGAACCAGCCTTAGTGCAAAGTAAATGGTTAGGTATATATAAATGCAAGGCAGAATGAGAAAGGGGAGAAAAATCCTCATTTAAAATATCTGAAACTAGGAATATCAGTTCTGGTGAGCCTTAATTAACAATTTTCTCTTTTTTTTTACAAACACAACTAATAGACAAGCTTGATGGTATTTTTTAACTTAAGAGGCAAATGGCAGCTGTAGAATGTCTAATATTTCAAAAGATCATTTTTTTTAAATCACTGATTTGACACAATGAAAGCATAGTACAAATAATGGTATTTCAGATCTGGCTTTTGTGAGATAGAGCTCAAGAATGATGACATACTTTTCCATTCTGGATAACTTAATAATTTAAAATATAAATATATATTAAGTCCATTGAATAGAGACTGAAAGTTCATGGTCTAAAAACAACCCTAGATTTGAAGTGTAATAATTGTTTCATTTCTATGGTGGGGCAGAGACTGGGTTTTGTTTGTTTTCCCTAATTATTTCACACTCTCCCTCCATTTCAAAATTGATATTCACAAATGAAGTGGGAACCATTGTTTCTGGCTGATCTGTCTGAACAGTGGAATCAGCCTGCATCTTCTTCTGTTGTTCCTGATACTGTCTTTCAGCTTCTTCAGACATCCTGTTTTCTTCTTCCTCCTCTTCTTCCTAAAAGGAGAAAATAGAAAAAAATATATATGCAGAAAGGAAAGTATATTTTATCCCATCCCACTATTAAGTGGGATATTTACTCTTCTTGTCAAGCTCCTCTGGTTGTCTTTTTTCCCCCTTTCTTTTTAGGCCAAAATAGTGTTGTGCTCAGTTCGGTCTAATTAAGGTAGACTATACCTCCCCCTCCTCGTTCTCCAGTAACTATAATATTTTAAAGAAAATGAAGCACAATATTACATAGCAACAATATATCACTACTTACCTTAGATGAGACCTGATGAGACTTTCACAGGGACTCTTTCTTTTCAAACTACTCTAAATTAAAACCAACTAATACTATGTCTGTCACTTCAGTTATAGGGTACATGTTCTGTCACAATATTCAGCTAAATACACTGGTTCATTCACTAAATGGTACAGTGTGGAGTATTCCAATGACCACCTAATGTACGGCAGCCCCTACTCACAAGAATGTACTATCTAGTAAGGATGTAGAGGTACATAAAACTAGTAGTTAAACAGGAAGGAATTACACTCTAGAGGTTTAGGAAGGGCAAGTAAATTAGAGTTCTAAAATGACTCATGTACTTATAACTTGTTAGTCAAATTTGTGTCTTCTAGGTTGCAACACCCCCATGATACATCTTCAAGGATATGAACATGTAC